TAAATCATGAATCACATTTGTTGCAGGCCAAGCATCAACAGGACTTGGAACGACGCGCGAAACAGACGGCAGCGGCCGAGAAGAAACTACATAAAGAGATTACGCTGAAGCAGGAAAACGATCGCAAGTTATTCGATTCGACTCGCAAAAAGGAATACAAAGCGAACAAAGAGCGCTGGAAACGCGAACTGTCGATGGATGAGTCAACGCCAAAGCGTCAACGTGATTTAACCTTGCAATCGCAAAAGGATAATCTAAAGCAGCACGAGGCCCAAGAGGAGCAGCGTATGATACAGGCCCAGAAGCAATTTGTTGAGCTCGAGATGCGGAAATTCAAGCGAAGACGTATGATATTGCTGCACGGACTGGAGGATCAGTTGTTGCGTGATGTAGGCACCTAATTAACTCTCATCAAAAATATTTATAACCACTAAATGCAATTCTACATGTCACTTATCACAGGAGCTGAGCAAGAAGCAACAGCAGCTGGAACAGGCTCACGCCATGCTGTTGAAACACCATGAAAAGACACAGGAGTTGGAATATCGCCAGCAGAAGAGCGTACATCAATTGCGCGAGGAGCAGGTGAGTCTTACGCATATAGATATATTGTGCTCGCTGTACGTCTATAATAACACGGTTTACTTTGCAAACAGATTAACAAGCAGCACGACACGGAGTTGCACAATCAAAAAGACTATATGGAACGCATTACGAAGGAGCTGCTGCGCAAGCATGCGCTCGAGCTGAGACAACAGCCTAAAAGCCTTAAGGTACAAAAGGAAACTGAAAATAAATTACGATTCAATTCAAATTCAATTAACATTCTATATGGATTCTTTATATAAACAGCAAAAGGAACTGCAGATACGTAAACAGTTTCGCGAGACATGCAAAACGCAAACCAAACAATATAAACGCTACAAGGCGCAAGTGCTGCAGACGACACCCAAAGAGCAACAGAAGGAGGTTATCAAGCAGCTCAAAGAGGAGAAGCATCGCAAGCTCACGCTGCTGGGTGAACAGGTGACAAACCAAATGATAACCAATATGTAATAGAATAACTAATGGCTCATCTATTCACCTTGCATTTGCAGTATGAACAAAGCATTGCCGACATGTTCCAAAGTCAAAGTTATAAACTGGACGAGAGTCAAGTGATCGAGTGCCAACGTACCAATGAGCAATTGGAATACGAACTGGATATGCTCACAGCCTATCAGAACAAGAACAAGAAGCAGGCGCAGGAGCAGCGCGATCGGGAGCGTCGTGAACTCGAGAATCGCGTTAGCGTGCGGCGTGGCCTATTGGAGAATAAGGTAATCAGGCAAATAACTCGTCGTGTCCAATGAGTATCGAAAATTGAACTTTAACTCCATTTCAGATGGATGCCGAATTGCAACAATTCAATTTGGAGCGTGCCGAGCGCTTGCGCATGAAGCATGAGAAGCATGCTAAAGAATTGGAAGCTTTTGATAATGAGTCAATAGCACTAGGTTTCAGGTATAACGAACTATATGTGCTTTATGCATAATTGTATATACTAATTGATTATTGATATTCTTGCAGCACTTTATCCCTAACTGAGGTATCACGCGAGACCTATCCAGATGAGGAGGGTAGTTTGTCGGGTTCCATGATTAGTTTAGCGCATAGCAATAGTTCAACAAGTTTTCCGGCTGGTTCGCTATAGCATAGGGAACAACAGCAGCAGCAACAACAAAACCAACACCAACAACAACAGCAACAACAACAACAAAAACAACAGCAACAACCATATAGTAATATGAACTATTATAATTTTAATGGAAATTTTAAAACAAATAACACTGCGACAACAGTAACAGATAGAGCCGGACACAAGCAACTATAACAATTACAAATAACCTATAAAAATGCATTATCATTTTATATTAACTTTTTTAAGACATTCAAATGACTGCAGGGTATTACATGCGCTCAAATCAAAAAGCATAATTTATATATAAATATATACATATATTTATGTATGTATATATATATGCAGAAGCATTCGTTGTTTTTGTAGCATCATTCTAAACTAAATAACGTCGAAAATTTATGAAAGTAAAATTAAACAAAGGAAGAAAGAAAAGAATGCAAATGAAAATTTTGCATAATGTTGCCACAAAATGAAGCTGCAATAGTTTTTGTATTCCAACGTAATCAATTCAAGCAAACAAACAAGCAACAACCATATGATAATACATTTAACACAATTTAAACAAAATCAAACAAGCGAAAATCTATGTATATA